ACCATGCACCGATCTATGCACTGTCAAGGCTCAGGTGGGGTCCTGATGACAGTCTTCTGTGGAGCTCCTCTCTCCTTGCCGTCTCTCGCCGTGTCTGCCCAGCATGCCAAGCATGCTAGGCTTTTATTGACACCAGAAACCCTGCCCTGAAGTCTGCCACACCTGCAAAGCACAGTTTTCAATCAGGTCCAGGGGCTCCTCATCCCCACCCCTCTGAGCAGGGGTGAGGCAAGCCCCTCCCAGCTTTATCTGAGGGGTCACGCTTTATCTGAAGTGTCCTTCTCCAAGCCTGACTTGGAGAAACAGTGAGGCTGCCACACTAGCAGTGTGTGCAAGATTCAGGAGCTGGGCCTGGTCTGGGGGGAATGTGGATTAGGAGATGATAAGAAATGCTTATGGTTTCACTTTGCCTGTCTATTTTATTTCCATCTGTCTCTTACATGGCCCTTCCTGTTGGGTGAATCCTAACTTCCAGTTAGGGCCCTCCCTGCATGCCCTTCCCCCACATCACTGATTGGTTGAGGGACCCTGCTTGCAGCTTGCTTCTGCCCAGCTAGGGAAGCGAAAACTAAGGTTTTAAACATGGCACTGTTTTTGCCTCCCCAGGGCACTGTTTTTTGCCTGGGTGTCTCTGGTCATCAACCTCAAACTTTGGGAGGAGCTGCCTGGTGCAGCAGAAAATTGCCGTGCTGCTCTTAATGGCCATGGCTTTTTCTGTGGTGTTGCCAGACTCAGATAAATCTTAAAGTGCACAGGACACAGTCGCTGGGCACCTGCTTCTGCTGCACCAATGAGCCCTTTCCTCACCTTCTCCCCTATGCCGAGACTCTGCTCAGACTGGAACCTCTGCCTCACTGGTCAACGTGAATCAGGAGTGGTGACAACCTGGTCTTGCCTTTAGGATGCCGCCTTGTTCTGTCCCAGGCCTGAGTCCATCCTATGCCAAGGTCAGAGTCATGAACAACACATCTGGAAGGAGAGAGAACTCCTGAACCCAGCCTCTCTACACTGTGCTCACCTCAAACAGGTACTGGAGTCTCCCTAACCTTGGGGCTGGCTCCAGCAGGCACTTCAGGGTCCTGTCCAAGGATGAGGTGTATTGTTTCTAAGCTTCCTGCAAGGGGAGAGAACTTAGGGTTAATGTCAGGGTAAGTGGGGCTACACCTGCCATGGGGTGACTGCAGGTTGTTACAGGGAGCCTGGGTGAGACCCCAGACACACTTCTTGGCCTGATCAATTGCTGACCACTGGCTCCTCGATCCAAGGCCTTCACCCCTCTCTGCACAGCAGAACATGGGAGAGTCGAGCTGTGGCAGATGTCAGCTGGACCTCAAGACAGAGTCCAGACACAAGAGCACAGAGCGTGGGAGCTAGGAGGAGAGTTCCCTGCACATGTCTTTACCCTGGCTTGTTCCCACCTCTGACTACCCCCAGCCTGATCTCTGCTCCTTGAGCTGTTCCAGGGAGCAGGGGCCAGTGTCACTCCTGTGACTGAAGGCTACAAGGAAGAGAAGGAGGAGGATTTACATCCATCTAGTGGCTCCTGTGGCTCCCACTGCCCATCTGAAAGGTAATCTTGAGGGCAGTCTAGACGAGGTGAGATTCCAAGTGGGGCTCCAGATCTGGCTTGAGTTTGCTGTCAGAAGAGAAGAACTTGTCTTAGACTGAGGTTTTTATGCCCAGTTTTATGTGATGTGGGCAGTACATGCCAGGAAATCAGCCCCAGTTGTTGGAAATGAAAATGGAAGGATCCAGCTGAAGTTGCCAGGTGGGGCATTGCCAAGGTTGGAGCAGGGACCTCTCTCTATGGGGCCCTTCTCCCCATTCTACTTCCCTCCAAGCCACATCTCCTCTGTTGAGGATGTGCAAATCCTTGGAGGGTGACACCCATAAGCTGGAAGCAGGGTCATGTTCTCAGCCCTGAAGTGACAGAACCGGGTCATAGTGTCTGTGTCTGCAGACAGCAGCCAAGATGCGGAGGCAGAGGTATGTCATGCCAACAGGCATGTCTCCATCAGAAACAGAGAGACCCAAAGGAGAGTATGAGATTAGTGCCCCACTGGGCACAGAGGCTCTTCCTTGTGGGAAAGCACACATTGTGCCAGGCACAGCCAGAACAATCCCTCCACACAGCTGGGTCCCATCTCCCAATTCCTTGCCAGGAATGCCTCCCCATCTATGTCTGCTCCTGCCTCACCCACCTCCTCCCAAAACAGCATGAGGAGACCCATCCTCCTCTTGTTCCCTCTGTACCCACAGTGGCCAGCACCAGCTCTCACTTGCCGTGATACTCTCCAGGGTGTCCTCTCCCCTCTCCAGCATGGCTTAGCACATTGTGGGGATGGTGCACAGGATGTTGGTGTGCTCCTTTTGCACACACCAGGAGGGAGGTTGTGGAGAAAAATGGTGTATTAGTCATGGACTTCCCTTTCCCTTGCAAAATGACAAGGGGCTCAGGCCATCCTGAATTCCCCCCTTTCCAACATACTTTTTCTCCTGCAGGAGTGTGAGTGTCGGGGCCAGAGTCTATTGGGAAGGTGGAACCCTGGAGTCTGTGGGACACCTACATCAGTCTGGGGGTCCCAGATCACAGGGATGAAGGATTACTTTCACCAACAGGGGGTTGTGGGTTACTCAGGGTAATCAGCTCCATTCCCAGGGGCTGGACTTGGGGAGGTTCAGGATGTTTTGGCTGCTGCTCAGCTAGACAGCGGTTGTACTTTTTCCTTGCCTTGCAGGTGTTCTGTGATGGCCCAAAGGGCAGCTTCTTCTGAGACCATCTTGTTCACCTCTTCCTCCTCTTCATCCACTTCCTGGGCCAGCTCCCTGGGGGTCACTGCAAGAGGGAGAGAAGAGGCTACTGGGAGGAGGGAGAGGTGTGCAGAGGGGAGAGGTGTTTCCCTATGCCTTTCTCCCATGAAAGGGTCCTAGAGCTGAGATGGTCACACAATGGACCCTCTTCACCAACATCCCCACCTTCATCCACCTCAGGGCCCCCACAGCTGACAGGAGAAAGGACCTGGGGGTGGGGTGGGGGTACAGACTCCAAGTGATGATGGCTTCCCTTCCCACCCCCCTCCACAAGGCCCTGATGCTGGGTCTTCCCCCTGCAGTGTGCCAGGTGCTGCCTCCACCCTGGTGCTGGGCCTGGCTCCCTTCCTGTTCTGGGTCTGGCCTGCCCAGGTGACATCCTGATCCACTGGGAACTGTCCAGTACCAGAAGGTGGGGCACTTCCACCTCCTCTCTTGCTGTGTTATTGATACTCTCAGGGTCAGGCAGCTCCCAGCACAGGCTTTGCATTGCCATCTCCCCATCCTGGGGTCACCACTGCCATCTGCCTCCTAATGACCCTCCTCAGCCTGTCCATCCTGAGGCCAAATGTGAGAAGTCATGAGCCTGGGTTGGGAGCAGCCTCTCTCCCTCACTACCTCTTTGCCTCCCCCACCCCAGCTGAGTGACTCCCCTTCATTTCAGATATAGGCATCTACCCCAGTTCCTCATTGCTGTGGCAGGAGTGGTGATGCCAGGGGGGGTCTCAAGCTTGGAGGGTAGTGTAAAGGCCTCTTGTGAGCCTGAACAATCAACTTCCTCCCAGCACTCCCTGCTCTCCCCATCTGGCTGAGTCTGGACAGCCCCAGGGAAGTCTTCTATGCCTGTGCTCAGGAACTGCCATGCGAGCTAGAGGTGCTGAGCAGCTTGTCAGCCTGGATTGCCAGGGACCTGTTCAGCCTGAGGAGAAAAGGATGGGTTTTGGATGCCATGGGGATGACTTGGGAAAACACCCAGGGGCTGTGTGTGCAAGTTGTCTCACACTTTTGTCCCCTGAACTGGTCAATGTAAGGGGGCCAGGGCTAAAAGGCTGGAGGGCTCTTGAGCCCACCACGAGGGGCAGGCTAGGGCTTGATGGAGCTATCTGGCACTCCAGCTAGCCTGGAGGTGGGGCCAGGGCCTCAAATAGGCCAAAGATCCTCTCAATGGGGAGGACATCACTGCTGAAAAGAAGGTAGGGGTTACACCGTTAGGACAGGGGTGGGCAAAATGCCAAGCCATTTTGTCTGGCCTGCAGTGGGTCCCTTGGCCCTGCCCAGGCGCAAGGGGCAGTTTGGGCCATGGCGCATGCAGTCAGTCTCACTGCCCCTGGGCCATGGTGGTTCCTTCTGGCTACCACTGCCAAACCTGGTCCCACTGCCCAGGGGCACTGGGCTGAGTAGGGAGACTGTAGAGACTAGCTGGGACCCATATGGGCAGGGTATGTGGCTGGGTGGATAGCATGGGACTGTGGACAAGGAGTAGCATCTGGGAGTGGGGCAGGTACGGCTGGGGATCAGGATTGGGATCATGGGGTGGTGACACCATTGGGCCGAGCCCTGGGCAGAGCTGCAATCTGATCCCTGCGCATCCCCGCAATGGGTGCCAGTCCCAGGGGTAGAGGTGTGCAAGGAGTAGACTGCAGCTCTGCCCCAGGCCCTGGCCCTGCACTGTCACTGTCCTGATCCTGATCTCAATCCCGATCCCAGTCCCCAGCCCTGCCCACCCATCCCACTCCGGGATGCTGCTCCCCCTCTGTGACCCCATCCCATCCCCCTGGCCACAGGACCTGCCCATACAGGTCCCACCTAGTCTCCACAGAGACCCTGGGATCACTGAGTGGTGACAGTATGGGGCTGGGGCCAAGCCACCATCTGCTCCCTGCTTGTCCCTGCCCATGAAGACACATATAGGGACCAGATTGAAGCTCTGCCCCAGGCCCCAGCCCTGCACTGTCACCGTCCCATGATCCCAATCCCAGCCCAGGCCCTGACCGTGGCTGCCTGTCCCATTCTTGGATGCTGCTCCCCACTAGCCCACAGTCCCATCCCAGGTACCCAGTCAGATGCCCTGCCCATGTGGGTCCCAGCTGGTCTCCATGGAGACCCTGGGATTGTGGGGTAGTGACAGCTTGGGGCTGGCGCCCAGGGCAGAGCCACGATCTGGTCCCCACATGTCCCTGCCCCTGGTATCACATGCAGGGAGTGAATTACAGCTCTGCCCTAGGCCCTGGCTCCTCGCTGTCACCGCCCTTCAATCCCGATCCCAGTCCCGGCCATGGCATAGCCCATACATCCAGTTCCCAGATGCGGCTCCCTGCTGGCCCGCAGCCCTATCCCAGCTGCTTGGCTGCACACAGGGGCCACTTAGGGAGTTTTGGTGAGCTATTTGGGAGGGAAGTGCTGACCAAGCCCATGACAGCTCACCAAAACTTCATAAGTGGGCTCTGGCCAAAATAACTACCCACCCCTGGGTTGGGATTTCCCCTCAGTTCTGCCTTTGCCAGCATAGGGACACACTACATGCCACTCACTTGCTCTAGGGGATGGAGTGCTGCTGGGCAGATGGCCCCGGAGCCTGTGCTCCTCACCTTCCCTGGTAGAACACCTTCCTCTCTTCCTTAGAGTATTCACAGGCACTAGGAGCAACAAGACCCAGCCAACCTGACTTCCAGGCTCACCAACTTTAGACTATCTTACAGACTAACCAGTTTCATTACTTAAATGCCTGCAATGAAGGGGTTGCCAGGGAGCAACAGTCCCAAAGCTGCTGAGGACCATTATACAGCAAAATCATTAGAAAACCTAATACCTTCCAGAAGTTTATGAATTGCTGCTCACAGACAAGTAGGAAGCTGTATACCTCATCACTAACAAGGTTGGTTAGGAATTATTTGCTTGGTTTGAGAAGAGAGTAACCTGGAACTAAGTCTCCGCCGTGTTGACTCTTAGTTTTTATAATAACCCAATATGAATTGCTTATATATGAAGCTATGTTTAAAGTCCTGATTGGAAGCTGATGTGTAGTAGTGATTGAACTATTTTTTGAGTTTTCTGGGACAGCATTTCTCCTGTTGTGTTGTAGCACATAGCTTGTCTGTTGCATGTTTGGTCTAGGATAAGCATTGTGCATAAGAATTGGAGGAGGCATTATTTTGGGTAGTCTCCTGTTAGTTGGGAACCTGTGCGAGGGCAGCCCCCACTGTCCGGTATCCCCAGCCCCCAGAGCTCATTGTGGGCCCCCTTCCCTGGAAGGACCCATGGCACTCCCACCCCACCATTTTAGCAAGCTGGGGGATACCAAGTTGGCCCATTTCCAAATTGTCAATTGAGCCCAGCTCTACACGCTCATGGTCCACATCCTCCACCAACCCATCCAAGTGTCCTGCCCAGACACCAAGTGGTGGGACATCCTTGGCAACAACAAGGGTCCCCAGTGGATAGGTCTGTATTCCATCTTAAACCCATGAGCCACTGGGGACCTTAGCTGGTGGCTCCTCCATGGAGCCATTGCTATGGGCATGTATCTGGCACAGTTCACAGACAGCCCCAACACCTGCCCATTCTGAGTAGAGAAAGACCCTGGTGCATGCCTACCTGCACTGTGCCAGGCTGCAGCTCCTTCACTGACTCCTCCTGCCAAGTTTCTGGCTGCTCTTCTCTCCTCACCTGTTTATTTTTGCACTTCCCATCTGTGGCTCCACCAAGTCCCAGGACCTCCTGGTCAACTGTCTCCTGGCTCTAGCCAACCTAGCAATATACCTCACCAGGAAGGAGGTTCTGGCTGGGAGGGCCTCCAGGGACTGCAAAGCAACTTTCTTGTCCCTAGTCTGATCCCATCTCTGGGCAGACTATCACTGGGCAGTGTCCCTTGGCACCTTGGACTTGCTTGGTGCCCTTCCTTGGCACAGTAGTTATTAATCTTTGACTTTCACTCCCATCCTCATTTTCAATATTATTTGTCCCAAGGAATCAATATCATGTCATTAGTAGCCTCCATTACCAAAGGGGACTTATCATTAATTGATGGGCCTAAGCCCATGATTCCCATTGATATGTTAAAAGTCGTTAGTCAGAAACAATTTCTCTGGTTGGAAAAAAATGACTTCTCACAAGTTCCCTAAGTGCTCATCTGAAAGTCTGGGGAAAAGCAACAGAGTCAGACTAGTTCTTTAATACCCAAGCAGGAGCCCTTTGATCAAGAAAAAAGATCAACAGTTTTCACCTCTCTAAAGGACCAACCTCTCTTCCTAGCTTTAGGAAGAAAAGAGTACAATGCACACAGTAACCCCGCAGTTTGTTCTGACTCAGATGTTGTGTCACTGTCCAGCTCTTCAGGGACAGCTCTTTTCTCTTTCTCCAGGAGAGCAGGAGGCAGGTGGAAGGGCAGGGCAGAAGGAAGAGAGGGAGAGAAAGGGAAGCAGGGACTCTAACAGCACATCTATACCACTTTTACAGTGCTCCTTTGAAGACACAAGGCAAATACAGAAACAAGGCAGTGATGATGCCCTGATGGTGCCTCACCACAGCTTTTGAGGCCTGCATGTTCCCTGCTGGCCACAGGTGGTCAGACTGAACAACCTGAAGTCAAGATCTTAGCTTCCAAACAGGGGCAACTGCTATTGATTTCTTTCCTATTAAGGAGACACTGGATCTTGATGCAGCTCTTGTGGGTCTCCCAAAAGGTCTTCTTGAAAGGACATTCCCAGATCATATGAATGGGGTATTTTGGAACATGGCACCTCGGCCTGATACATAACACACAATTCCCATGATTTGCAAGTACTTCACTTTGTGATTCCCAATTACTTCCCTCCCCCCTAACTCATTGTCCCTGCTGTTTCTATGATTTTTTGCCACTGTCGGATATTGTCAGCACAAATGGGGACGTTTCCCTTCCTTGCTATTATCTCTCTCCCTGTTGCTCCCTCTTTATTCCTCATTCATCCTTCAAAGACCTTCCTCAAGGCACAGTCTATGCCAATATTAAAAAGATACAGAAATCTTCCCAGTAAGGATTCCAGTTGCCAGTGACTAGAGTGCTGGTGGGTTGCACCTATCTATCCTGGTTGGCAAGGGGAACCTGGATCAGGAAACAACTGGAAGTCAGCATTCACCCAGCGGGAAGGGCCATGTCAGGGACAGATGGTCTACACTGGGAATAGAATAGACAAGCAAAGTTAAACCACAAGCATTTCTTATCATCTCCTAATCCACATGTTTTCTCCATAGGAGGCCCAGCTCCTGAATCCAGCACACACTGCTGGAAAAAACATTGGTTTGCTGCTCCCTCCTCACCTAGGATCCTTTGCAGGGCCAGAGTGATTCCTCTGGGGTTTGGCAATTGTCAGCCAAGAGCTTGTAATGAGAAGAAAGGCCTCACTCAGCTCCTGGAGAATGCCCTACCTGTCCCTGGGGTGCTGCATCTAACTACCTGATTGTCAACTGACAAGTTGTCCAACCCAAATCCTGCTCAGGGTTGGGCACTCCTGGGTCATGGTCCGGTCAACCTCCAACCAATTGCTAAGAGAGACAAAATATGCCTTTGATTTCCCCAACTTGCAGGAGCTCTGGCACAATTTGACCCCCATATGAGCATGGAAGTCAGTAATGTAATGATGGTAGGTGAAATAGGTATGAACCCCAAAAGTGTTGCCAAACTGGGGTCACTGTAATGGAGCTGGGCAAGTGCCTCACCCTCTCACCCATTATTCCCATTTCTGCCCCATGGTCACACCCTGCACCTTCCCTACAGTGGCTCCCAATCTGGCTCCAGTAGTGAGGAGGACAGAGCAGGGGTGGTGCATGGACGAGGAGGAGCCGCTGGACATTTGTTGTTGGTGGGAGAATGTCACCACCTTTCTTTGTGTCCAATAGCAGTATTTAAATGGCCACTCAACACATGTCAGTGGCCAGAAACAAAGGTTTTGAGTTTTTGACTCAGAAGCTGTGAGCCTTTGCCACTGCTCCCATCCTGTGCGCTCCTACTGCCCAGGGCCCAGCACTGGCCACGTCTACCACTGAAAGTATCAGCTCTTTAGATTAATCTGGGGGTTGGGATCAGATCTGGCTTACACCTCTGGGGACAAGATGGAAGAAAAACTCGATTGACTCTGTTGAGCCTGAGGTTGAGAAAGTAAGGGAGACTGAGGCTTTTCTTGGGCAACCTTGGATGTGTACCCCCTGTCACTCAGCAAGGTTTTAGTGCCAGGTTGTGGCCATTGCCCAGGTGATGTCAAGGAGGCACAGGAGGGCTCCCCTACTGTTTCCTCGAGATAACAAGGACCCCTTGAAAATGATATTACATCTCAGATAGCATAGATTGTGCTTCATGTCTGCCTGTATCAAAAGGGAAGAAGTCAAGTTTGCCGTGATGAAGACCACCATGATCAGGCCCCCTACACCCCAAGTTCCTGGAGTTGGGGAGATGAGTCGAAATACCATGAAATCCAGCCCAGGGTTGTGATCCATTTCGTCTACATGGACTTTGCTCACCACAGCTCAGGGAAGGAAAGGAGGCAGCTTTCCCCAGGTCCCACTTACCCATGTGTCTGCAAGGATGAGGAGCAGCCATCTGCACTGATGGAGCCTCTGACAGCAACTGAAGGGAATCCCAGGGCGCCGGAGCAATGATACGACTGTTGCCATAGCAACACCAGGGGAAGGTTCCATATAAGGCCCTCCCCCCATTTACCTCTGCAGGCCCCTCGGTTCCCCCACCTTGGCCCCATGGGCAGCATCAGTGAAGCCACTCAGATGCTACAAGCAAGCAGCTTCTCCCTTCTCTCCCTTTGTCATGCCATGTCTCAGCCCTTTTGGTGGTTGCCACCTGAGGCCAGGAATTTTTTTCCCCCCTCTGAAATGTTACTGACTCTGGGGGAGGGAGGGTTACTTTTCTGAGACAGAACAACACAACATGTATTGTGCCACTAACAGCCCTGCTTGTGAATAAGTGTTGCTGAATGGGACACCAGATCAGTTACTAAAACTATACTTCACTATTGTCAGCTTTTGTGATTTTACCATGATATCTGATGTTTTGGTTAAGGACCAGGCCCTGATACTAGGTCACTTAACATTTTTGGACTCAAAGCACCTCACACTGGACTTGAAACACGCTTCTATAACTTCCGTAGATTGAGTGGCACCCAATTTCAAAAATGACCTTACATACTGCAATGCTTACCTCTTGGCTGAGGGACTAGGCAGTGGGAGTGGGAAACTGGCCAGGCCTGCGCTTATATGCTTATCTTTTCACACATAGCTTATCTCCTCACGCCTTGCAACATCCTTCAAAGTATCTGCAATCTGCAGTCGGCTGAGGACGCCGGAGGGAGCACACATGCCCCCGGTATCCCCCAACCCTTGAGGTGGCGGCAGCAGCAGCAGCAGCAGCGATCCGCAGCTGAGGGACAAGGCGGGACAAGGCAGGAAAAGGGTCCAAGAAATCTTCATGGCTGAGCGCGGATATC